CCTAGACACCGGGACTACATGAGGTGCGCATATTCATCTAAATCTCCCTTCTTTGTAACAGTCGAGGTCGAGTTGATCCAATCCGCCATCTCCGTATCAGGTGCTGGGTATGCTCCGGAAACTCATCGGATGGCATCTCCTCCATGATCAAGGGTTGGTGATGAGTAGGACTCCGACCCTACCATCTGATCTGATCGTGGTTAGCTTCATGGTGATGGTGATAGCGGGATGTGTTGAGAGATGCAGACGATAAAGACTGCGAAGGCGAAAGAGAACCCCCATCGACATCATGTTAAAATAAATTAAAATTAGCTAGTTTCTTACAGGTAGATCCCGGAAGTCCTCCAAAGTCACAGACTCAGACAGGAATATAATAAAATCTAATCTAATCCCCATAGAAGTGAGGGCTTTGTTACTCAATCACGGCTCTGTAGACTCTACAGCGAGAGCTGGAGGTTCGCAGAGGACATTACTGACAGGCTGTTGGAAATGGAGACACGAGTGTTGTGGACGTATGGGCCCTCCATTTCGTCTACGTTCCCGACACGATCTCGTGTGTATTTAAGAGGTTGGAATTGGTAACATAGTAGCGCTTCAGGCTACCTATTGGACATATGAGCGGCTGTATGGCGTGGGCACAAGGAGGTTATTGGGGGTTTTCTATGCCTAGATGGCGCCACACTCGTTTAGGCTGTGGCTTAGGCTCTGTGTCGCTTACACTTGTACTTGTAGCGCACATCTCCCACACTTTTAGCTTTAATTCGAACATGACACTCTTTTAGTCAACTCCTACTTTCATTCCATGAATATTGTGCCCATTACATTGCGCGATATTTCCAACACAGGTGTTGAGAATAGTTCCCTGGGTTAAATTGTATAACACTTCATCTTAGTCAAGTTTCCAAGAGTCTCTTTGCTCGGACACAATTTTGAGTCTTTTCCAATCTTCTGATTGCATTGGCCTGGCCCAAACTAGCTTATAAATTTTCGCCTGAAGGTTCCCAACATGCCCTAAAATCTACTGCTGCACAACCAAACCAAATTATTCTCCAGATCATCAGTAGTGACTGTTGGTAGACAATCAGAGATCAAAATCTCAGCACACTGAGCCTGTTTCAAAGGTACAGATCGGTAGTGTTGTTTGATATTTTTAGTCGCCTCTCATCTCAAATTGATTTGGCGTTATGAATTGGGGGGAAGCAGTAGAGTTAGGGTCCGGCACGGTGTAAGGTTACAAGGCTGAATAGTCAGCCTCGTATACTTTTCTTATAGTGTACCATAGTCGTAGACAGAATGAACAACATCATCTTGACCCAATTTACTTTTGTTATCTGATCAGATACCGAAACCCGGCCTATCCAACAGGTAGATTTTAAAGACTTTTTTGAATAATTATTATTATCCTTTCTTAGCCCACAAGTATATAATATATGAAGTTCCTTATCCCTACGGGCCATGGATACTTATATAGTAGTATATGCCCCACTATGACGGAAACCGAGTTGGTGATGAATAAATCGATTTAATAAACTATATGAGGAGAAAAGCTAACTCTAGCTACTACTAACAGGTATTTATAGGAGTTAATCCTCCTCGTGAATCTACAGACTAGTGACTTGTCCTTAGGCACAATACTTCTTACCCAGTCACGTATTTCCAGGTGTCACTAAGTTGTAATAACGTTTCAGCCTCCTGAGTAGTAGTCCCGTTTCGTTCAGCTTCATCTCCCCTTCATACAGCCTCATAGTAAGATTTCCTAGTAACAGGCTTAGGTATCCACCTAAGCTCAAACAACGGTCAAACCGTAACACCCACTATGTCTCCAATACAGCTTCACTAATAGAGTACCTCAACTCTTACGTCCTCATTCAATCGTGAACATGGAGGATCTTTTTGCCCTTCATTGTCTATCCTATCTAGCCAAAAAAAGATGGTCACTTGCGGACGTATGGCAGCCGAGAAAATTCGCAAAAACAGCTGGGTGCGTGGATCTCCTGATACCAGCATTAGGACTAAATCCGAAGACATACTAACCCTCCTGAAGCGTTCATTGAGGCCGGCCAGCTGGGCGCTGCAAACTTGTGTGTACCTCGAGAAATTCACCCTCTGCCTTTTTAACCTCCTTCCAACTCCTTCCAGAAGGTCGTGATGAAATGGTAGAAAGTCTTGACAGTAATGGGGCAAGATCCCGATCAAAATTGATGCGACTACTTATTAAATCGTTGAGGCAAGTTAACTCGTGGTATGAGTAAGTTGAAGGGCCCGCGTGAGAGAGATAGGTTCGATATTGATGATAAGTCGTCGATTTTGGATATGCTTGATATTACTTTTGGCTTTGATTCGGATACGATTCTTCTTAGCTATCCCAGATATGCAGAGTAAACTGAGCATTCGCACTGGCAGCACAAGAAGATGAAGAAGTCGTTATTTGCCGGCCAGAAGGTTCTATGGAAGGGGTGGCTGAATCACACGGCCAAGTACTAAGCTAAATTGTGATCTATCACGGGTAACATACGAGAGATATTAGGCTGAATGGCGCAGTTGTACGCCATCTGTGATATTCTCCCAAGTAGATTCTGGGGAACCTTGAACGCCTACGCCATTTGAGACAGGACAAAACAAGTTCGATTCCAGTGTGACCCGCATACCACTTCTCTCTCAGTGATATCGTATTAGAAGGGTGACGAAAGCACACTCGGGTAACCGTGTGGTTTTATCAAACTGTGGATAGTTTGGAAGCGATCAATCTAGAGTCTAAGGTGTTAGGTCTACAAAGTTTGGAGTTACTTGCTTCGGACAAAGGTGTTTCGCTCGGGTTGTAGCAATAAGAACCCTATCTGTTCTGACTAGAGATGTTTCGTTCTAAACCATGAGAAACTCGGTTCATGGGGACAAAATGGGGACAGATAGAGCATTTGCCATTTTCTGGACGTACATAATCTAGATAGTAACAGAAAGAGAAATGGCAGCCAGGAATTAATTGACACTTTTTACTTTTATTTTTTACATTATTAAATTTACTCGTAGAGTCTAACAGGTTTTCACACTTTTCCCTGCGGTGGGTTTTCACGGAAGAGATTATACGCCGCAAGGGTTAACCTCGAGTGGTATCTACGAATGAAATCTGATTGTGGGTGTTCCAAACGCCAAAATGAGACCTACTACACGAAATATATCCCCTGAAATACCTGCACAAGCCTCGTGATACTAATTCAAGTCAACTGAATCTTTTATTTACTTATTTGTATGAAAGATCTTTGGAGTATCTAGAGAGGATAGGAGGACTTTAAGTGGTTTGGCCTGGACCAGTGAGGAGCCCAATGTGCTAGGTAGTCTTTGACTCAAGCAGTACAGCTGAACTAAACCAAATCTCGCCGGCAAAGACGAATTCTTAACCTTCCAGTGGTGCCGGTGTAATCGCTCAGTATGCTCTGCATCTCTGTGATAGCCAAGAAGAATCGCATCCGAATCGAAGCCGAAAGCAACCTCGAGCATATCTCCATTTGACGACTTCTCCACAATGCCTATCTCACCATTCTCATCTGAGTCCTCAACCTCTCTCTAACCACGCATCATCTCGCCTCGACGACCAATAAAGAAGTTGCTCCAATTGCATATAGGAGCTTGCCCCATTAATTTCCAGCCATCTCTCACTACATATTTACGACGCTATTTATACCCGCAAGGAGGAAATCAAGTCGAAAAATACAAAGCCTGGGTCATGGCTTATGGGAGACTGTTGCTCTAATGGGACAAACAACTTGGGGAAGAACAGGCGGCTGAGATGTGGAGCAATAGAGGAAAGAGGTCTCTGAAAGGCATGCTGCGATCGATATTTTCGAGGGGTTTTCAACTTTGGATTTTTTGCGGGCGCCAAGACAAAGATTCCGGCTGACTAGCCAGGAGGGCTTCTTTTGTCGATAAGTCAACGGCACTCCCAAGCGCCCTGGACGGCACAAAAGAAGTCGGGCTAAGCTACTATACAGCAATCATGCTCTGTCAAGACTTTCTACCATTTCATCACGACCTTCGGGAAGGAGTTGGAAGGAGGTTAAAAAGGCAGAGTGTGAATTTCTCGAGGTACACACAAGTTTGCAGCGCCCAGCTGGCCGGCCTCAATGAACGCTTCAGAAGGGTTAGTATGTCTTCGGATTTATTCCTAATGCTGGTATCAGGAGATCCACGCACCCAGCTGTTTTTGCGATTTTTCCCTGCTAATAAAAACCCGCAAGAGACCATCGTTTCGTTGGCTGGAGAGGGGAGATAATGAAGGGCTAAGGGCTCCTCTTAGTGTATGATCGAATGAGGGCTTGTGAGGGGTGGTACTGCTAGAGGGGAGTTGTATGGTAGGCATAGGAGGGGATATACTACTGGTATAGGTATCCTTGGCCTGTAGGCAGAGAGGACCTGCATGTTCAACATAGTTATAGACTCAGACAGGACAATAAAATGAATTAATAATAATAAACCAAATCTCATGATCTTTCTATCCATCTTACGCCTGGCCACTTTATTAACTACCTCAGTGGGCTATTTCAACGAAACACACGCAGGGACAAGTAAGCTTTGTTGGGTAAATAGAATCGCAATTTCGCGCAAATTGGAGGATATTCTGGGTGCGAAGGATTTAATCAAGGCGACTTTAGTAGACAACATAGTAATGCACCAACGGAACAGAACGTTAGGTTTTTGTGATACTCTGCAATTAAATCATTTAAATGCTAACTGGTCTAGTCAAACCTAGCCAGAATGATATTCGCTTGCTTAAAACACGGATCAGGACATTTGTCCAGCATGCTTGCCACAGAGTTAGTGTGTAATTGGACTGTGGCCGACGAGACGAGCGGCCGACGTAGCTAATTAATCCTTAGTTGAGGGCTGGCGCGGTTTGGACCCTAAGCGAGTTCCCATCCACAAACTTCCTGTCAATTTAAATTCTCTTCCGCACCCAACGCAACTGGATCCGCACGACAATCCGGCAACAAATCCAGCTCTTCAAAATGGTAAGTCTACCCGACTAAAACTATGATACTGAGTGCATCATATCTCAACTATTATCTCTCAAGTAGTTCACTGTTTATTACGGTGCATTTAGAATCCTTACAGGATGTTCGGATGGAAATCTGAAATGTTAACTGTAGATTCGGGAACTTGAGGCTAACTATCATCCCAGCCGTTCACCAAGCTGGTCAAGAACTCGGCGTATTACAGGTAAAAAATTATCAAATGTTATCGAGTAAATATTCTGACATTACTTAGTCGGTATCAAACAAAGTACAAGCGCCGTCGTCTTGGGAAGACCGATTACTACGCTCGTAAACGCCTCATTACTCAAGCGAAGAACAAATACAATGCTCCAAAATACAGACTAGTGGTTCGCTTCACCAACCGTGATATAGTCATGCAAATCGTTACATCTGAGATAACTGGCGATAGAGTCTTCAGCTCAGCGTACTCCCATGAGTTGAAGGCGTATGGAATAAAGCACGGCCTTACCAACTGGGCCGCTGCTTACTGCACTGGACTACTGATCGCTAGACGAACTCTAAAAAAGCTTAGCCTTGACACCGAGTTTGTTGGAGTCGAAGAAGCAGATGGAGAGTACAAACTCACTGAAGCTTCAGAAGAAAATAATCGACGACCTTTCAAAGCCAATTTAGATGTTGGCCTATCCCGAACCTCCACTGGTGCCCGAGTATTCGGTGCAATGAAGGGTGCATCAGACGGAGGGATTTACATACCTCACTCGGAAAACAGATTCCCAGGTTATGATGTGGAGACAAAAGAGCTCGACGCCGAGACCCTACGAAAATATATATTCGGCGGCCACGTTGCTGAATACATGGAGACCTTAGCTGATGACGATGAAGAGCGATACAAATCTCAGTTCCAAGGTTACATTGACAGTGAAATTGAAGCTGACGGGCTAGAAGAATTATATGAGGAAGCACATCGGCAAATTCGGGAAGATCCCTACAAGAAAGTAGAGGGAGAATCAGCCGCTAAGACGAAAGAGGAATACAAGAAAGAATCCCTGAAATTTAAAGGACGCAAACTCACTAAGGAGGAGAAGGCTGAGCGCGTAAAGGCTAAAATTGCGGAACTTAGGGATTAATCTCAATCAATGTAAATATCTTTCACTCAATATAATAGTAAACAAAAGATTTACAAATCACCTTGGTCAATTCTGACCAATTGAGAATATCTGACTTTAACCATTTAAATACAAAGCAGACCAAAACGGTAAAGTCTTGTGGATATGGACAAAGATATAATGTATAGTTTTATTAGCACACTGTACCCTTCTCCAATATTTTCGTGCTGTAACCAAAATTAATACAATTGAAGTTATTTTACTCGCGAAGTCGGTACGAAGCTGCTCAAACTTTTCCTGGCTTTTAAGAAAGGACCAAGCGCTGTGACTCAGGCAAACATTTTCCTGGTTTCAGAATATCATTAAAACAAAACATCCATCTATTTGTTCAGATAGTAATTAGTCCCTTGCTACTCGGATGTGGTCATATTTGTACTTACTTTCCCGTCGGAAATGTCCGGAGAAAGCAGTAAGTTTCGGAAGAAATGAAAATATGGTAACATATAATGCGGTTAGCAGATTTACAAAAAAAGCATTAATCGATTCTGGATTCTCGGCTGCGAAGGGGAACTAGGTTATTGGCGTGACAGTCAGGTCAAGGATAGGCAGGTGGGGCAACGGATAAAGAGTGAAGCGGGGCTCAGTCTTGTGCATAGTTGGCACCGCCCCCGCCTCCGTGCCGAAATTACAAGACCCTGCCTGTCTTGTGCTCAGGCTTTGACTAGCATCTGCCCCTCCGTCATTTTCGAATTTCGAATGAGTACAGGATAAGCCACAGCTCGTTGAGAATGCAAGTGCAAATTCCAACATCTTCCTACCTCAAAGTAGGCAATCGCACCTTGAGATTCTTGACTCGAACAACTCCATGGTGATATTTATCTGAACCACGATCAACCTGATGCAATGCCCGCTTAGCGATCTTAAGTGACGAAGACTGCAGCCCATCATCGCTGTAGATCAAGCCAAACTAACGACAATATGGAAAGTATTCCTGAAATAGGTTACGGCTATGTGAATCCGCATGCTAGTCTCATATATCCAGAGGGTTTTAATGGTGCGTAGGATCCTACTGCGGACGGGAGTTGAGGAAAAAATGTTGGATTATTTTGCAATGTCAAATACCCTGTCATTAATGAGCGACATGCGTCAACTTTTGACATGTTGAACATGATATAGGACTGGAACCTCCATACTAACAATCCGTCTGTAGATGAAATCTTGCAAGCGCACACCACAAGACGGGATATTCTTCCCGCATCAATTAAGGATGCTAGAATAGTAACAGACAATGGCAGCCATTCAAAAAAAAAGCTAGGCGCTGTCTCTTCTAAGGGAAATCTTGTACCTCATCTACCGACATTTTCCAAAACTGTACCAGCAGATAGACCAACTGTACCATCTAATTCTTCAATGACCAATCGCCGTAATTCTTGGTTATCTAGCATATCTTCGCGGCTCTCCTCGGCCTCCAACAGCCTTCAGCCTCCAGTTATATCCACCAAGTTCCCGATATCGGCCAACGAAAATGCTGACTCAGCTATACCAACTTCACCTAAGGTCGCCGTGGTTCCCAAGCCCTGCGGAATCTCACCTCATACACCTTCCTCCCCGCGATATAGTCAGTCAAATTTTTTACAGAGTGCATTCCGGAGATTATCAAACTCTGGCGGTTTGCAATCTATGAAGAGCAATCACGAAAAACAAATCTGCGAGAGGAGAATATTGAATATAGACCAAAATCGAGAAAGATGTCGAATCAAGGAGTTAAATGGCATTAAATTACGGAAAGTAGCATTTTGTGTCGATGTGGAGGTGGCATGTGAGACAAAATATCATGACGAAAGAGATGAAAATGAAAGGACATCCGGAAAAAGACAAAAAAAGAAGCAGGCCAATAACTCTGAGGATAATAAAAATGAACTCGACACATCAAACTCTGTCAAGCAGCGGGAAAAGTTAGACGATGTGCCCTCCGGAGCAATTTCAGGGGTGGCTAATAATCTACCTGGTACCGAAAAAGAAAGCAGGAAAAAGCAAAAGAAAAAGCGGAACGAAGAGGAGCGAAAGGCACGAAAAGAAAAAAAAAGGGAACTGGCAGAAGAGAACGGTATTTTGCCGATCGAGTTTGTCAAGAACAATAGCGATACGTCATTAGTGAGCTCTGTCAATAATTCAAAGGCACAGTCTTCCCCTACCACAGATCCAGTGCGTATTTATCGAAGATGCTGTCAGCTTCGAGAAACTCCGATCTTGCAGGGAATCATAGAACAACTTGCAGACACCAAAAACCACAGTCGTATACCTGGAGTGCTACATAAAATTGACCTCACCGGGATATGGCTTGAATTTTCCAACCTTACTACGCTTTGTGATTACCTTGCTATTGTTCCAGTTAACGAACTGATCATGGAAAATTGTGGAATGAATGATGAAGGTTTACGTATCATACTTGCTAGTCTTCTGGCTGCTAAATGTCCAAATTGGGAGAGTAGAAGAGCAAAAGGTGCCAAAGATAAGCAAACGACTCAAGGTGGATTTATCGAAAAAGTAAGCCTGAAGAATAATCCAAAAATTGGGGAAAATGGATGGTTGTACATTTGCACATTTATTGCCATGTGTCGCTCGCTTAAGTCAATGGATCTCTCACAAATACCATTTCCTCAGACGCCTATTGTGAATTCGACGCCCCAAAATGAAACACTAAATAGTAGTAGAAGGTATATCGGCGGCACTTCTAAAATACTTGGGAAGGCCATTGGAAATCGTTTAGGGGGTAGAGGCCTAGAACTCTTAAACATTGCAGAAAGTGGTCTCCACTCAAATCAGCTGGGAGATTTGGTTGATGGCGCAATCAAGTCAGGCCTATGTCGTCTTGGCATCGCTGGAAACAATATCAGTCCAGAGGGTATGCAACATATTGTTCGCTTCATTCGTGAGGGCCATTGCGAGGGACTAGATCTAGGAGGGAACGACTTAAGGGATCAGCTCATCACAATAGCTGAAGCTTTGAATGAAAAAAACGTCTTACATGCTTTAAGTCTTGCAGATTGCAACCTCATCCCTGAATCGCTATGGGCCCTTTTTCCGGCTCTAGTAAAACTAAAAAACTTCCGATTTATCGACCTTTCAAAGAATCCTGAGTTATTTAGTTCTGAGCCTAGCGCACTCTCATTATTTCGGAGGTAAGTTTTCAGAGCTCAGTGCACTTTATTTACGTTCATAAAACTTCCTGCGACTATAATTACGGGACTTCAATATTTGAGATAAAAAATCTCCTTACCCATAATCTGTCATGCATCATGCATCATGCATTAACATATCTAATATTTTATAAACAGGTACCTGCCGAAAATTAAAACGTTGAAGCGAATTCACTTAAATTCTGTATCCCTGACGGCAGAGCAAGCTATAGCTTTGGCTGAGATACTGCCTGAGTCTCAGACTTTGGCGCACATCAATATAATGGATAATCCCCTTAGAACCTCTTTAGTCGCCACAGATGGGAAAAACAAAGCTACTCAAGAAGAAGCTTGTGCACTCTACGCATCACTCATGGCTGCTGTTCGTGTTAGTAGATCGATCATCTGCGTTGATATTGAAGTCCCATCGCCAGAGTCTAGCGAAATTGTTAAAGCACTCGCAAAACAGGTCGTAGCTTACTGCTTACGAAATATGGAGCATGGTCCAGTAGCCGAGATTAGTGCCAATTCTGACAGTTTTCCAGAGGAAGAGAAAGAAGTAGAGATTCCAGATGTCTTGCTTAAACTTGTTGGTCATAGTGAGAAAATTATAGCTGATAAACCAGATGTAAAAGATTCCTCAGCTGCTGACGAAGACTACGTAATTGGTGGCACAGGCGTAGTAAAGGCATTAAGCATTTGTTTGAGGAATCGTGGAAATAATTCAAGGCCTCCGTCTACCCTATCAGAAACACAAGTCTCGAGAAGTACAACAAACCTTCAAGGTGAACCTGCAAAGGATATGAGTAAGAATTTACTTGGAAGTGCCAGAAATATTCGTGCCCGCTTGCAACCTGCAGTAAAAGAGGCAAAAGCTGGAGATGCGGCCAGTTTCCGTGAGCAAATAATCCCAATACCCCGCCAATTTGGTCAATGGTTTACTTCCTATCATGTCATAAATGCTGATTTTTTCCAACTTAGAGAGATTGCTCTTTTTGGATGAAACCCTTGACGGTATAATTAGGCGCTTCGAAGATGAATTTCCGGAAACTCGTCTACCATCTAGAACTACTAGCTCGGCTGGATCTTCCAGAATAGTTCAAACTGGCTCTGATGAAAATGATTCTACAGAATTAGAAACTCCAGATTGCGAAATGGAGCCTATTGACACCGAAACACAGGTTCTAAATGATAATAGCTCCTGCCTCAGGCCGGTTATAAGCCGACACAACTCAGATGTCTCATTGGCTAGTCGTGCCTTGGGTGAAGAGGAAGGCAGGATTCATCGTTATGGCCAGCAACTCAAGAGAAGTATATTGAACCCCGATGGAAGTGAAATTAACGATAAAAGTGTGTTGGTCGAATGGCCAGTACATTTGGAAATGTTACGTGGAATGATGGAAGGCATGGGTGGAGAAGAAATAAAAGATCGTATACTAACCGAGGTAAGCAAGGTTTCTTGATTGCTTGAAAAATTACTCGCAGATTTATCTTGAGGTTACGCGTTAAATATATGACTCAAATTATAGCTTACAATTAAAAATAGGGACACAGCACTCTCTTCGAAGAGTTGGACAATAAGTCCTCCGCTTTACACCAGAAACTTAAAAGCCAGGATCCAGAGGCCTGGCAAAAATTTGTTCACAGCCAAGAAATCATTAAAAGGACCTAACTAATAGTGAAGCATTAACGTGGTATAGTTTTTGGCAGTTAACAAACTAATTAATGAAATAATATTTGTCGGGGGTAGGATGGCGCTTTTAAGCTTAGTAATGGTTTATGATCTTGTAATCTGGCGAGGCATACTTCGCGACTATTGAACTCAAAATACTTCATTCTCCCTCTTCAAATATACTTTGAATTAAGGAAATAATAACCCCTCAGTCATTGAGGCTGTAGAGCGTATTAATTCAAGTAACAACCGGAGTAAAACTAAGTACAGAATTTGTAGACACGTCTGTATTAAAAATATGGCCTTCTTGACAGCCCCAATTATTCCAACTTCAAGCAGAAACACGTGGAGAAATAAGGAGGCTAGAAAATTTGAGAGACGGTCTTAGTTATACACAAGTCTGCTGCGCCCAGCTGTCCGGCCTCTTCGTGATATGAGAGCCCCGTACCCAGTGGTTTTTGAGACTTTCTGTCAAACATGGAATTGTATGAATGGTATGGCTTTGGTCAAACTACGTCGTTTGATGAGTCGCAGCACATCAATGAGAGCTGTTTTGGGTCGGGGTATTTCCTCCAGTGTTTGAAGGGCAGTCTCAAGCAGAACCACGATGTTTCTAGAAAGTATCAGTCCTGATACACTGTGGGAAGACGCTCACGCACTTCATCATCACACGTAGATATTCTCAGGAGGCATGTGTATATACAGAAGTTTTTCTTTAGACTACGACAGACAGACTTTCACAAATAGACTTTACTTTACATTTTTGAATTGACCCTAAGGGTCTAACACTTTCCCCTGCAGGTTCACACCAGCAAATGGCCATCCTTTCTTTGGCTGAAGAGGGGAAATAATGACGGAATAACGGCTCCTCTTAGTATGTACTCGAATGAAGACCTGTGAGGGCATTACTGTGGGAAAGAAGTCATGAAGCAGGCATAGGGGGGAAGTACACTACCCGAGACATAGTTACAACCGGCCTGTGGGCAGAAAAGTCCTACATGTCCGTACATGATCATTAACTCACAGGGACAACAAAATAAAGTAGTTATCCCTCTATCCGAACACCATTCCTAACCGGGTAATTCATTACTCATCATCATAATTAATCATCATATGTAAGGTAACACATGATCTGTTGAAAATTTGGAGTATAGAGGCAAGTCTGGTAATATTTATTGGAAGTCATTGATAAAGGGTTTAGTTGTTGTATTTTCTATTATTTCTGTGATGGGATAGACTTTGTTGATCCTACTAGGCTCGATAATAAATAATCTCGACCTGGTCGGGTGGAAAAGGCGACTTTCTCCGACAAGCTAAAGACAAGTCATTTGAAGCAAAGATTAACAGCCCAGAAGATATGTCTCGAATCGTACAGTGGATACTAAGTAAAGGATGAATAAAATAATTTTGACTTGTAGGGAAGTCGAGGTAGCGCTGTCGGATAAAATAAATCGATCTGGAAGGGGAGAGGACGGAAGCCATACTGTCTGAGCAGTGTAAACTGCACTTCCTGAAGTTAAACTAATCAAGTTGGTGGCAGTTGGACAGGCAGGGTTAGGGGGTCTTCATCAAATTGGTTTCCTCCCTTGTAAATAATGCAGATAGTCATCTTTTTGGATCCATAGGGTGCCTAATCGGGTAAAAAAAAGACCGACTGGCGTGTAGCTAACGGAGACTGCTGAGGGTAAAGACTGAATACCTGGGCGCGGTGTCCTCTACGAACCTGGGAGTGAAATATTCTCCCAGAGCCAAGCTCAGTCAAATTTCGCATTATCAAAGAAGTTGGCCCACGAGGCAATGATTCAAATTTCTCCACTACGTCGTTTTTTCGCTCCCAAAAAGTTTGACTCCCACCTAAGTCTCATCAAGCCTACAGGTACGACCTAGTATATCCTCATCCCTATGAACACATCTCTCGTCGACCTTCTCTGGCCTCAGTTGACCATCAAATACACGCCCACGCTGATATTTATACCGATGGAGGAAGCAAAGCGTGGAGCACAAATCTGGGAGATAGCTCTTTGGGATGGACGTGAGAGAGATCATGACAAGTTTACAAGATTATGCAGAAGAGGGATACATTCTAGACGGGCTTGAAATTTCGAATTTTGGCAAGAGTTTTACGAATTCAGCTTTGTGCGCGCCAAGACTTCGTTCGCGAGAGTGCAGCTGACACTATAAACACAAGCCAACGATGGAAGGTGTTGTGGTCCGCCTCCTAGTGGTGTTCTCTGGTATGGTTTGAGTAGCCTGGGCACCTACTCCACTTGGGAAGGAGACATCTCAGATCATATTTCGCGCGGAGAAAAGTTGATGGATGATGGAGGCATGTTTGGGTAACTCAGGGATATTGAGACGTTTCCCTGGGAGGGTATTCACGGATGAGGGTTGACTTGGGGTGAAGAAAGAGTCAGTATAACATTGTAGCGGTACTTGCAAATGAAATCCGAGCATGAGTGCTTTAGTTATAATTTAGTCATCTATTTTGAACTATTTCTCTGATATTGTTTCATAGCTAGCTGTATACGTAATTAAAATCTGATGCAAAAAAAACTGCCGAGAATTCCACAAAATGCCATGGACGTCTTTCTCAATTGTAAACACACCCACAATCAATTCCTTAATGCTATATGATCTCATGAAGTTGAGCGGAATCACCATACTATCTTCTTGTTATAACAAAACGGTGATACGTCCACATTTGAAAGCTGAGTCCTGGTCGCTGTTTTTGATTCATGTCTGGATACATGTCTTTGTGTTGACTGTGCCTTCTTTATGGCTACCACATTTACACAGCCCATTCTACCCAGTCTTCATATATTTTTTGGGATCTATAAAAGTACATGTTTGCCCCTGATATGATACTGGAGGTACCTATTCGACCTTTCGAAGTTCGTTTGGCCAGGTTCTCGGCAAAAATATTTCCAATAATTCCATTTTATCTAAAATGACCCGAATCTCCACTAGCTTGTACTGCTGTAGGCTATTCGTGAGTTCATTGATTGTAGATTTTACGAGAATTCTTCAACCTACCTTCATGATCATTGAGACTTAATTTTATGGGGCTCTCAGCCGACAACAAGGGAGTAGCCTCCAGTGACCTATAAATTCTTGCAGGATACCACCTAGAACCAATGGAAAGTATCTGTTACAGGCTAGCGCCGTGTTTAGTTATAAACGGAGTATATCCGGTTCATTTATCGAGAAATCTTAGAGTACATGGCTTGGCTGGATTAAGGAGTTTTGTAAAGGATAACTCCTGCATAAATCCATACGCGACGCGCGGTATCGAGTAGATAAGCAAGCAGTCTTCGTAGTACTTCTTTTTTTATACAGAATATAAACTAATTTGCGACACTCTTTCATGCGAATAGCTAATGTGATTAGTCCCTTCACAATATCCGATTGATGTCAGAACCGAGCTAAGAATACAGGGTTTCGCATTACTGATTTTTTCATTCTTTAATTGTATACAGCTCTAGAGCCGTGAAATATGATCAATGTCTTGTTTTAGTGGAGGATGAATCTTTTGATATCCGAGACATGCATCCTACACATTCCATTTGCACCGAAAGCTACGTTGTACTTCTGTTTACATTGTAAAGTCGACCCTCGTCCGCGAGAACCGATCAAAAGGAAATTTTTACAAATCTAGCAGTTCAAGCATATCTTCGTCATTCTACACATGAATACTGCAAGAAATATAGACGAGTCGTGCTTTATTCAGACTAGCCATTTTCTTTCTTAATTTGGATAGTTTTCAAAGCTATCCAAATATCTACTTGGAGGATCGGTCCTAATTATTTACTACTTAATCATTTCACGAAAATTTACCCTTGCCCCACTCAAACGTCCAGAATTTGAAACCCCTGAAAATGATCACTAAATTATTCCCATTAATGACCTTTTACCTCTTTATTCTCACGTCCCAGCCGTCTGTAATCCCCTAAGATGTGAAGCATCAGAAAATTAAAGGTCCCATATAATCTATCACCAGAGATTTTAATGTTATGTCTTAAATTTCTCCTTGCGGGTCTAGATATCATCATAAATTTGTAGTAGGTGATGGCCGATTGTTGGTGGAGCAAGCTCCTAGGACTTTCCATGAGGTGTAGTTGTTTGTTGTAAGATTGAAATAGGGAACTTCTGAGAAAATCCTGAGACCCAAATTGATGAGAGTTCGTCAATTCTAGATATGCTTGTACTTGCCTTGTATTTCGGTTCGAATGTGATTCTTTTTGGCTATCCGAGATATGCAGAGCATAATGGGTGATTACGCTGGCACCACTGGAAGGTGAAGAATTCGCCTTTGTCAGCCAACTCATGAATTGAGTTGAAAGTTTATTCGTGACGGGCACAAGCCTTGCACTCAAAGAGCATGACACGGAGAAGACTAACTTCTCCGATAACTATATACGACGCTAACTCAGTTTGACATTTGGACTACTCATATAGTGGGTGCATTCGCTGATACCACTCAAGACCTTGGTGCTAGGGACTTTCACCCTTCCCTCAACCGTAAATATCCACCAAAGGGAAAACAGGAAAACCCTTTGGCTACCCTACTATGCTTTTGTCATCTTGTATATAGCTGCCGCGCGAGATATGGCCTCACAGTCCTCCCTTTCTCGAGTGAGGTAGGTGTCCAGGCTACCCAGACTTTAATTCGGGGAGATGACGACCAGGAGGCGGACCAAAACACCTTACGTCGTTGCCCATTTATAGAGTGTCGTTTGCACTGTCCGAAATCGTTGTTTCTGCGCCCACAGACAATCTTAAGTTGAAGACACTCGAAAAATGTGCGTCCCAGTATGCCCAATTGTGACCTCCTCACTCGTTCGTCCGACGTCCCAGCTGCCTATCCTCTCTCAAGATGTGAAGCCCCATTATGGAAACGGTCCCCCATAGACTAAGACCCGAGCTTTGTATAGTATGCCTTAGTTTCCTCCCCGCGGGTATATATAGCATCGTAATTTTGTAGTGGGAGATGGCCGGTTTTTAATGGGGCAAATGCCTGATTGCAATTGGAGTAACGCCATTATCGGTATTCGAGGCGAGGTGGTGTAGAAAGAATGAGGTGGAGGACTCGCGTGAGAATGATAGGTCGGACATTGACGATGAGTCGTCGATTTAAAATGTTCTTGTAAGTGCTTTCGACTTCGATTTGGATGCGATTCTTCTTGGCTATCCCAGATATGCAGAGCATACTGAGCGATTACACCGGCACCACTGAAAGGTGAAGAATTCATCTTTGCCGGCAACTCATAAACTAAGTTGACAATGGTTTAATCGTACCTGAAAAGGGCCCAAAACAATCTAGCGATGCACATACGAAGTGAGCACATGGGGCTCAATTCGTATCTATATAGAATTAAAGTACCCGGAGTCCACAGTCCAAGCTATCCATGTAGCTACCAATCGCAGAACCCCGAGCACATGATTATGTCCTACCCTTGACGGTCAAATGGAAGAGCTGAGATCTGGAGACAAACCAAAGATCGATCCTACGAAGCGATGATAAACAATCCTGGAGATATAAAAAGGATAACACAGTGGATCCTAAATCATGGTTAGATTGAGCAATTCCAGATGACAAAGGCGGTCAAAATGCTGCTGAGTGATAGGAACAGGTCAAGCCATTCTTGAGGTCGATAAATATGATGCGATTGGTTAACATGGAGGGCACTATAGTGTAACTGCGCTTCCTTAAGGATACATTAGATAAACGTAGACAATAACCAGGAAGGTATGGGGGGTTTCCACTTAAAGGTTTCCTCCCATGTAAATTAGAAAGTAGGATAGACACCTGCATGGGCCCATAGGGCGCCAGATCAAGACAATGAAGTCAATTCAAATCCAACGATATAATCTTAAAAAGGTTGGATTTGCTCTACAGCGAGATTTTAGCTCCGAATTACTGCACAAGCGAACTATGGAATCTATTCAAGCCGTCAATGGATCTTGTTGAATCAAGTCAAATCTTTTTCGCACGCTAATCTAGATCTTGTGAGATGGATTAACTCTTGTGTTTTCAAAGAACATCGATGATGAATTTTCAATATTTTTTCATCTCAAGACGCGAGTGACGACTTCATTTTATTTATCAAAACGACTAATTTATTCTAGGAACAGAATCAAGTGTGCTAATTATTGGCGCCGATAAGGGACTCAAGTTTGGAGACAATATCCACTTCAAAAACAATTGAATAATAATATATATTTAAATATAATAGCATCATCATGATAGAACTTCAAAAAGCAAGTAATGGAATCGCGTTTCTTTCTAATCAGCGTTCGGGCAGCAGTGAAAATAGTGACGAGAAAGTAGAGTTGTTAGTGAACACTCGCGAAAAGAGATCAACGGCCGGAAATCGACTTCACAATCTCTTGCGTCAAGAAGAGCCGGATGATGAGTTGGAGCTACTTTTCGCAGAGGATGATGAAGATGTAGACTATGCTAATGCCGAAGGAGACGAATCGGACATTCAGATGGGCTCTTCTGACAACGAGGATCAAGGGCCAGAAGAAGAAAATGACTTCCAGGGTGAAAAAGATATTGAAAAATTGGACAGGATGGAACGAGCAAAAGTTATAAAGAAGAATCGTGGAATCTTCAACGTTTTCCAAAAAAAGGTCCGAGCCGACAACGATCTTGCCCCTTCAACTCCGAAACCAAAGAAAAAATATGAAAGAGCGTCATGGCTTTCTACCTCTTGTCATACTCCAGTTCGCGCATCAGCTCGTGGATCAACGCGTCAAAGTAAGCAAGAGTTGCAAGTACAGATCATGGATAGAGAGATCAAGCGGCTCAAGCAGGCGGCTAAAATGGAAAAGATCGCAGCAGAAAAGGCAAAAAAGAAAAATCCACCACTAACTCAGGAAGATCGTTTGAAAGAAGCTGCAAAGGTGGAAATAGCGAATACAAAATGCTTAACTCGCTGGGAGAGAGCTGAACAAGAGAGAGAAAACGAAAGAACGCAAAGGCTTGCCAACTTACATGATAGAAAAATCGAAGGGCCTGTAATTACCTACTGGAGTGGCGTTGCTACATACGTCAATGGTAAGCTAACTAGGCTTGGAAAGATTGACATTGATAACCAAAGCCCTCTTACAGCAAAAAAACGCAATGTAGAAGTATGCAAAAATTATGAGAACACACAATCAAAAAAACAAAAAACACACTCCGAATTGCGACCAAAAAATAAGTATCTCAAGTCATTAGTACCTGAAAACAAAGAAATAAATGTTCCTAAGCTTCTTGTACCGGATATCAGCCAGATAGTCTTTGAGCAATCACATCAGACATCCTCTTTTCTTGCTCCAACTCTGGGTCTTAATCTCATTGCACCGCCACCACATCCATTCCTTGCACCACCACCCCTTGGTGGGCCTTCTCCGCACTCAGGTCTTGGATTTTATGCGCATCAGTTACATCAATATCGTCACTACATGTTCAATAAGTCTTCAACCCATAAACTTTCAGCAAAAGTTTCTATACAAACCCCCATGCTTCTATCATCTCAATCACCTTCGCCTATTGAACACTGTTTACGCTCAAGCCTAATTTTTTCCAATTTTTCGGAAGCTGCTATCAAATCTCGTGAAGCCCAACTCAAAGCAATGTTTCCTTACATAAAAATATCAGCTATGCGCATTTCAAAGCCCCCCAGGTCAAAAACTGGCACTAGATCTAATTTGTGTGTAATCACGGGCTATCCCGCCAAATATAAAGATCCAAAAACAGGGCTGCAATATTATAATTCATATGCATACAAAGAAATACAAAAGCTTCAGAAAGGAGAGATAAGGTGGAGTGATCTCCTAGGTGCCTATGCAGGGAGTAATACTATGAAAGCTGCGAGGGGAGTTCCTGATAGGTTCATGGAAATAGTTCAACAGGATTCTGTTGCTTCTTGAATCTAATTTATCATATTTTTATTGAATAGCTTTATGAAAAGTTTTTCGCAGGGCATGAGAATGCCAAGATATTCCAGCGCCTCTAAACAAAGATTTACGGGTTACTGAATTTTTGATAACCTACTACAAAGCTCACGAGACTCTCTATCCCGACCTCTATCATCAATAAATTGTATAATTGAAACATTACAAGATGCCTAAACCTTTAAGAGGTCAGTTCTTGCACCTTCATCTAGCAAGATGAAAGATAAATTGTCAAATAGTAGAGGAATGTTTAGAATTATGCGTTATGTGGAGAAGACCAAACATCTATCGGTGGTGTTTCAAGCTAGCTTCCAGCCCTCAAATGAAAGTTTGTAGAGCAAATACCAAGCAACATACTGGTCAGGAAACTTTTTTTGACAAGCCTAGACTTCTCCAAAATATCCTTAGATTACTAAATACTATATGCTCTCTCAAGTAATTTTCTGACAGTTCAAAACGACATCAAAATTGTCAAGAAGCGCAAATAAAAGAGGAAGGCAATTGGAGGCTAAGAAGTCGATGATAATTCTTTTAAATACACGCAAGACTGTAACACACGGCTAGCTGATCTTCAACGACGCCTTAGCGAGGTAGCTATATATTTGAATAAATTTTAGATTTTGGCATGAGGTGAAATTCGCGCCTTGCAGTCTTTTTTGATTTACTTGGCTGCCATACAGACGCAGATTGCTGGAGGATTAAGGCTGAACACATATTTATAGTGTTCTCTACAAACTTGGAAGCGAAACACTTCCCCATAGCCGAAATTCAGTTGTGTTAAATGGTGAATTTTAAGAGTTTTCATAGCAGATGTTGAAGGATTTGCTCGATGGGTTCTAGATTATTTGTGCGCTAGAATTTACTGTTTTTTTAAATCATTTAACGTGTATTCAGCTATCTAGCTATGACACATGACCGGTGCTATGTATTCATGTAGGATGACTCTTTTGACGTTAGAGACACTCATACTCTGGATTTTATTCGTAAATACCACTATGAGGTATGCTTCCTTACACAAACAGCCGACCCTCATTCATGAATACCCGCCAAAAGGACGTTTCAAACCCTTTGAATATCCAAGCATGCCTTCGTCATCCATGCACTCCAGCACCGCGAGATATTTGGTTGTGTTTTGTCGGATTTGAACCGGCGATCTCCTGTCTCAAGTGAGATATGTGTGCAAGCTATCCAGACCATACTTGGGAGACTGTCACAAATGATATACCACTGTGCCACCCACCCGTGGCGGTGTTTGTAATATCGCCTGCACTGTCGCAATCGGATGCTTGGCACGCATATTCACTTCAATTTGTCACCCTCCATGCCTAACTTCGAAATTTCGAACCCATCGAGATTACATCTATCCCCTACATCATCTTGTGAACGTATCCCGATTTCTCTCACGACTATTCCGAAGAACTGGTTCTCACACTTATGCGCTACGCTTTGTTTCCTCCGGCCGGTATAGATATAAGTGTGGGAGTGTACCTGATGACTAGCTAAGGCGAGAGAATAATCGATGCAGGTGTGGCCATAGATATGAGGATGTACTACGTCGTACCTGTAAACTTGACGAGGTCTTGCTGGGCATCGATCTTAATGGGAGGGAGAAATTGATCAGGCGTAGAGCCTGAAATCATTGCCTCGTAGGGCCAACTTGTTGTGAAGCACGAAATTTGACTGAACTCGCTCCTGAGGGGCAATTTCACTACCAGACTCGTAGAGGACACCACGGACAAGTGTTCAGCCTTCTTACTACTCGAGCCCTATTTTCTCGCCTTGCAAATTGAAAGTGATACCGCTTTGGCCTCTACAATAATTACTGTTATTTTTAAATTTTTATTTACTTGATTTGATGCCCTATAGACCCACACAAGTAGTCACATAAGCTCCCTAAGTATTGACTCAGAAGACCTCATGATTGGATAACCTCGGCCTTTCGTGTTTGTATTTAGGAAACACCATTACGCTGCAGGACCATCTACGTGTACTATCAGCATTTTCACTAATCATACCAAGTTTTGCTCGTTCTATTTCTGTCTCGGCGGTATTTAGGGCACTTTTGGCATCCGAAATTGCCAACTCTAACTACCATCTGATAACAAGTGCGTGACCCTTCAAATGTCACCAGGGCTGTTTTCAATTGCACCAAAGGAACAACTTTATTCCTTTCTCTAGATCTCTCCCCTACTGTTTGAATATTTGCGACGAAGCCTTTCTCAGTTGATCCTACACCTGCGACCCACCTCCATACTCGTCACATCACCTACCTGCACATGCCCTAATGAGGAAAGTCATGATGGAAACGAAACATGTACAAAGGAGAAAAATGGGAACATACACCGAGGGGATCACAAAGATCCCTAATGACGAGAACAACCCAACGCTACAATATGAAGGTGCAAGAGCAGAGAAACAATGAGGTTTTGACGGCATTTATATTTCGGAGCCAATGAGAATGTCAAGGGCTCGGGCGCGTGGTGGCCGAGGCTGAGGAGGAATTTGCGCTAGGGCGAGGATACAGCGGGTTTTGTGGACGGTGAGGCTTGGAATGATTCAACACATAGGTGGAGTCTGAGGTGATCCGATCACTTAGGGTCGAGATACATGTGTACTTTACGGTATTTAACCTGGTCCGGCCCGGCCCTACTCGTGCTTAAGCTCCAGTAGAAGTGCTATGGGTGACGTGTACCTAGCACGTAAATGAACAAAACAAACACCACAAGCGCATTCAACGAAGGGTGCAGGGGTCATGTTGATTCCTAATAATCTGGCCCCTAGACCTGCCGACCTGCCGACCTGTCAGCGAGGTGTGCTGACAGATAACAGAGCATAGACAAAATCAAGCTATCAATATCTATACTTGTTTTAATGATCACTCCAATGATACGATGCCTTAGACCCATCAAGTGCAACTTGCCAAAGCACATTTTAAGAAAAAATTCGACATTCACTCAGGCCGTCACAAATCCCGCTAATAGGACCCAAATCTATATCTCTCAGTCACTAAATCCATACGTAAACCTTTCCATTGAAACTTACTTCCTCTTAAATACACCGGTAGACTCAACAATCTTATTTCTCTACTCAAACCGACCAAGTATTATCCTCGGTCGCAACCAAAATCCATGGCACGAAGTTAACTTAGGTCTACTTCGCTCTAGCTTGCCCGAAACACTCCTCGTTCGACGCCGCTCTGGCGGCGGGACTGTATTTCATGATGAGGGTAATGTGAATTACAGTGTCATTTCACCCATGTCCACTTTTACGCGTCAAAAGCATGCAGACATGATTGTACGTGCCCTGAGGTCATTGAATGTTGAGAAAGTAAGCGTCAACCAGCGTCATGACATTGTTATAGAGAAATTCGATAAAGATGAGCAGTCATTATTGCCATTTAAAATTTCAGGTACAGCTTTTAAGCTTACTAAGTATCGATCTCTACATCACGGAACATGCTTACTTTCAAGTCCGTATATTAAAGTTATCTCACGATACCTTGACCCCCCTATCAAGCCATTTCTCACGGCTCGAGGAGTAAATAGCGTCAAATCAAAAATTACGAATGTTTGGCTCTCTAATGAGGAATTTCAGAAAGCCGTGATCGAAGAGTTCCAGTCCATGTACACTAAGGCAGAACCTATCATTCTCGATGAGAATATTAGAAAGATTCCTGAAATTGTAAAAGATGAAATTGAGCTAAAGGTTTGTCATGTTTTATCCCAAATAACTCTTTGACTGATTATGTTTAGTCTCATAATTGGATTTACAACCAAACACCTCAATTTGAATTTGCTATTGATAACAATTCTGAATGTCCATTTGAGTCCGGAATGAGTGTTGGTGCATATTTATCGCTCCCAAAAAAGGTCTGCAATCCCGCGCACAAATTTATTCCACAGGTCCGGCCCTAACATCAATAAGTTTAATGAAAGATTTCTTGCTCGTAATGGTCGTATCATCAGTGCCTCTCCGGCTCTAGGGCATTTAATAAACCAAGAACTGCATAGTATTACTGACTGGAGGCCAAAACTGTCGGTTAACGCTGATACATGCAGTTCTGAGATTCAAGAAAAGTTGGGAGATTTCTTGAATAAACTAATGAGCGGTGATTTAAATCAACTACAAAATACTTTTAATCGCAGCCCAAATTGAAACTTTACTAAAAACGAATTTAAACACACAAACCTAACTCCAGGTACACCTTGCTGGCAAAATAATTTGACATGCCACATATAATAGTTATCTCCTATACAAATTAGCAGCAAAGAGTCCAGCTTTCTATTATTGTGTAGAGCGGCTAAAACTCCGATGCTTACATTCCTTAAAACATGGGGGCTTTGTTTCAATTTGTGAGAGCCAATCCACAATGTAAGCTCTAGTCATTAACCAGACAGACTCTGAAGATCTGAAAAATATGCAACAAACCATAATTGATTCATTAGCTTGAGAAGATGACCAAGATTTATTACACAAACGGTCAACTAAATTTTGTTGCGAAACCAACCTAGACATTCCCCGTGCTTGTGGTTTCAGTATGTGTCTATCAAGATTGTCGGGTGTCGCCTTTCCGCTACTAGTTACACCATCATCTTTTGTTACGTCTGATATTCGAGACTGCAACGAGGAGACGCGTAAATGGTATCAGATCTGTAGTTTGTTCCGTTGTATCCCGTAATGAGGCATTACACTCTAGCCCATGTCACTGCCAGACATCAATGTATATAGACAGACCATATCCTTTAGTAAAGATCAAGAGTTTCGATCAAGCCTTTACTATAAACATAATTCACATCTACGGATACCCTTTGAAGTTTATACCTCGTTATTTCTCTGTGATCACTCGAAGAGTTCTGCATATTCTTATTTTATTTTCAACAATTCTTTAGGCCGAAGGGCAGGATTCAGAGGCCCGAAATAGTTTCAACTGTTTGTAGGTTTGGAAAGCACAGATGTAACACTAGCTAGCCATGTCTTCCACATAATCGTTAGAGAGATATTAATCTTCCCCTAGAAATTAGTCACGATTAAGTTAAACATCTCGAGTGAAAGAGTCACAACTTGTAGCTGTTATCTGCGACATCTATGGGCGAAGATTCAGGTTACAGAGATAAGCCACCGTTCAAATGTATGGGTTCCATAGTGCTACCGCGTAATAAATAGATGAATCTAGGAAGTTGTAAACTTGTAGCTCAAAAACCTTTATATTTACAATTTTTTAAGGATTGAGGAACTTGAATTCCTATATTGATACGTACTAATCATGAAAGTAATTATCTTGCAAACTACCCTGCTGCAATATGCTGGTATGTGTTATGACGTGAAGGTGGGCTATTTATAACGATTTGGGCGGAAAATAATTATCTTACATTAAGAATTGATTTTAGATCTTGTCAGTTTATCACCGGTTGAAGTTTAGTTGCTAGCACAAAAAATAGGTGAAAGGTTATCGATCAAAGCGTATATTTCTAAATCAGTCTCCGTCCTTTATGAATAATAAACGGGATTAAACCCCAACGCGGCACTGACACACCGCGACTAATCTCCGTATGTTTTCCCCATAGCTGCTCTGCCAACTCCAATACTTATACACTACTCAAAAGAGAGACAACCTGGCGATCTGTTAAGAAGTTGTATAAGGAGACGTCCTCATTGGTGAATATTCATTAGGCATAAAAATGTTTAAAAGTTAGTAGGAACATGAAGATAGCATCAGGCATAATAAAACATTGGAATAGCTAATCCAATGGGCTGAAAAAGGAATAGTAATGCTCATGCTAGGACGTAATTGGAGCCTTGTGAAACACCAGCTGACCTAATTAAGGCCGCACAGCCAATGTTGCTGAGTATCTCATCTAGACAGACACTACCCTTTAAGACAGTGAATGCTATTCTCGGTGTGCACACTGATATAATTTATTCCGCACATATTATTTGAGTCGCTTATGAGAAATTATTTTTTTCACCTTTACTTAGAAATTTTTTTCCCAGTAAAATACTTATCCTGTGGGTTTATGTGAATTGTCTCTTCTTCATATTTCTGCTTCAGAAGTATAATGAAAAGTTCGCGTCAATCGGATTCAGTGTAATACCGATGACACAGTGGGCCCAAGCATGAGCAAGCCCAGAGGCAAGAGCCCTTTTCCAAAAATAAGTATAATCAATGTGTCTTCCGTAGAAGACTTTCAGAGATTAAACTGAAAAGAACAGATACTACACTTGATCTAAGCCAATAGGCAACTAATTCTTGTTAGCAAGTTTCAATGAGAATATTTACTAACTTACAGCTGATATCATTAGTTTTCGAAAAGTAGGGGGTATTTTGATAGTTACTCACAGAGCTGTAGATCAGAGACTGTGAGCCTGCCAGATTATATAGATGCTGTGGAGGCTAGCGGCCGCATATCACATTTGCTCTGTTTGATCAAATCAGCTTTTGACATTCCGTTCGACAGGCACCCCTCATCTCGTGTTTTAATTCTTTGCATTGTGCGAGTCACACCTCTCAAATCTCAACACGTGTCTATGTGTGCCCTGTTTGTAGAAATTGTGGCTCTATCTCATGAGATGAACAATGTTCAAGTATTTCAAGCTAGCATTATTCTATCAATTATCCAAGGAGTTGGTGCCATATTTTGACTCTATTAAAAGTTCTAAAGAGGCTAGTCAATGACCCAGGTATGAAGGTGATTTTTTACCTCTTTGATGGTCTAACAGTCATAATTTTCGCTTGAAAACGAGCGCGCTAGAAGCTGGGTTCGATTTTCAAGTATAATTTTCGTCAGAGATATTTTAAGAAACAGAGGGGGATAGTAGCACTGTACAAGCTGTGATGTGGGCTACAGAGGGGTCCAACTGTTGGAAAATCTTTGACCCAAGTAGTATCATACACAAACACAATATCGTTATTGCTCGATAGATTCCAACGACAGTCTTGGACGACTAACTAAATTTTCATACAATTGATAGTATGACGATGAAGACAGCTCAAAACAATCGGAAAACTGAAACTACCCCTTTCCTAAGTAAATGAAAAATTTGATCATTTATTCTGTCATTTACTACGCACTGTGCTACTACTCTAGATACATGACCAGTGTTTAGAAGCGGTATTCAGTGGTTAAAAATAAAGTGTGAGTGCGCAAAGTCAAATGATTCCCCAAAAAATCTCAAGAGGTGGTTTCATTTGCACAGGACAATCGACCCTCTTCCGTGATTGCCCATCAACAGAAGGTTCAGAAGCTTCAGTTTCTCAGGCATATCTTCATTATTCATGCAGACGTGTTCCGTAAGAAATGTGGTGGAGCCTTAATGATTTTGGAGCGGTTGTCTCCCGAACCAAATTAGGTAGATGTTTAGGCTATTCTGAATCTTGTTGTCGGGTCGGCGCGGATGATATGCAACGGCGCCAATCAGCCATGATAGTGTTCAAAGTGTAGTCTGTGCTCTCTTAGACAAAGTCGTGTAGCGCCGAGTGCACTTGAATTTGTCAGCTCCTTATCAACATTCAACATCTCATATCTTCCGAGATTGTATCTGGAGGACAAAGACTGAATGCCTGTTCGCGGTATCCTCTACGAATCTGGGAGTGAAATCTTATCCCTGAGCCAAGTTTAGTCTAACCTCGCAATACCAAAGAAGTTGGCTCAAGATTATGATCCGCTTCCCCTAACTAAATCAGTTCTCACCAAAAAATAGAGTTTACAATTACGACCTAGTGCCTATTTATTTCCATCACCACGTCTCAAATCGACAATTTGTTGGTCTAAGCTGGCAACTAAATAAACCTCCGCGACAATGAGAATATCAGCAGGAGAAAATTGTCGCGCACAAATTTAGGAAGCAGCTCATGTGGATGGGCATGAGAGAGATTGGGACAAGTTTACAAGATGATACAAAAAAAGGAAAATAACTCGACAGTTGTGAAATTTCGAAGTTTAGAAAGGAGATATATATGGAAGAACATTGTGTGCGCCATGTCTCCGATCGTAGGAAAGTGGCTGACAATATGAACATAAACCAATGTTAGGAGGTGCCGCGCTTGGACTTTGTAAGGATTCTTGAGAAATGCCTCAGGCAGGATTTATGGGTCCCTTGTTTAATCCCACTAGTCTTTATTGCTTAGCGAGGGCACCTATGTAGTTTCCATTTCCGAGACTTACAACGCCACGCTTTGTTTTCTGTCTTTAGGAATAGTTACATTATTCTAATCACGTCTCACTCTCGTCCTCTGCCAACTATGGTGACCTACCGTCACCTCCGGCCCCTTTATCTAGAACGACTCCCCGCTTTCCCATTTACCACTTCTCTAGAAAGCCCTCCGCGTTCCCACGAGGCGTCCTTCCTCAGTACATCGTACGCTACGCCCTCTCCTACGTCTCGAGTCTTGCGCCTAGTGTACCTGCGCCTGACAAACTTCTAGTGGTGATCTACTACAACGTTTGAATGACCAGGTCACCTAATTCACTTGGCAAGGAGAAGTCTCAGTTTACAATTCGCGCGGAGACAATTCCATAGATTTTAGAGCAGATTCATTCATTTCGCCTCAACTAATTCATGCTGTTTTCAATTATTCACTTGACTTTAGAGAGACAGACCGCAAAAGCAATTTGGAGGCTGAATGAAGTAAGGGCCAAGGTATTATCCAATCTCGGCGCTGCAGTCTCTGAAGTGAGAGCTGGAGGTTCGTAGGAGATACTAATGACCGGTGTTGGGGGCTTGAATCCCCTCGGAAGGAAGAAGATTCTCTTGCCTTGGATCCAAGCGACACGGTTCTTAGATATTTCGTCACCCATCATTTCTCCCAAAGAGGAAAGTTTTTTGACTCCACTGAAAGTAATAGATGATTTTATTTGTTTTATGCATAATCGTCGCAACCTTAAGGATTTATTGTAAGGCATTATTGACTACCATGTGGTATCTCTTGCTACACGGAAAATCTCCCTGAGGTTCAAGGCCTCAAAGCTTAGCCCCCCCCCCTCGGACATCATATTTTCGAGGCAGGTCGAGTGTGTGTCTCATTACTCCCACAACAGCCTCTACCTGGGCCACTGCTACAAACTCTTTTTGAGTGCCCGTCGGATTTTTCCCTAGTGTGACGGTAACTGAGTTGGTGATGAATAAATCGATTTATTAAACTATATAGGGAGGAAGGA